CTGGAGAAAAATGAGTCACTTCCTCATCGGTCACATGAGAAAACAGAGTATTATCTTGCTTCTCCGTGGACCTCTGGTCTACCGAGATATACTCTCGATGCCGGACACAGAATCTGTTGATGCATATGTTCCTGTATGACTTTTGAAGGCCAGAAAGATCCATGCATCAATTTTGAGGGCGAGAGGTGTGAACAGACCCCCGGACTGGTCGGCAGCCAACTGCTGAGTACTTTTTGGCAAACAATCACTCATATTCCCATTCACATCTATTGACAGAATAGGGTCTTTAATTAACCAGTGAGAGTCCCCAGACTATTTGGAGAATATTTAAACTCCACATAGGAATTCTTTTAGGGGACAGACTGCATCAGAATATTTGGCTGTCCTCTCGTATCATGGCTTGATCACAAAGAACGCAACACATTAGAGCCGAGTCAGATGAGAAGCTAATTAGCCAAATCACCCACTGGGCTGAACCTGGCAGATTTTGAGTTTAATGAAACGTGATGTGCTTGTTGATAGTAATCGCACAACACAAAATCTTACATTTTTACGTCAACGAGAGGAGGGGGTTGGGAGCTTCGGCCCGTCGAAATTATCTGCAAAATGGGGTGTGACCACATTCCTTTGAACCCTTCTATCTATTGGATCAATCTTCACAAAACAGGTATTACTGGAAAGGGAATTCAAAAACGATCCCAAATCTGCAAGCATAGGGGAGACGGTTGCATATATTAATAACTTGACCTTTTGACCAATAATTTGACCTTGAAATGTAATTTTCACATGCTCTCTAAAACTACTTCAGTGATGTAAATGTTTTTGTTTGGCACCAAGTACCCAGTGAGTGATAATCAATGATATTCAACAACAACATTAATACTACTACTACTAATACTAGTAATAATAATAATAACGATAGGGTAGATCATTGGGGATTCATTAAAATCCAAATCTGCTTGGTCAGTGGGTGATTTCCGCATGGAACGACCCTAAAACGTTTTTTTCCCCAGCTACTCTCTGGACGTCCAGTGCATTTCAGTTTTTAGAAAATACGGTGAAAGACCTTATTGATTTTTGCAATGTTGCCTGATAGCAGCAGCGGGATAAGGGAGCCAAGGTCAAAGATGAAAATCAGTACATCCGAAGAATGGGATTTTAGACAGCATCTGACCCAAGATCCCCAAGGGACATATCGGTACACATTGAGAAATCTGTCGGTTAGAACTTTGAGGGCGTTTTCGTGCTGTTGATCGTCACCATGTGAGGACTACTGTTATCTGAGACACTGCTCAAACAGGAAGGGCGTGAAACAAGGAAACGAGTAAGGCACTCGTACTCACCATGCGGGCTACCATCTGGGGTGTAATCCATGTCATGGTCTGTAGTGGTCTCTGTCTCCATGGTCATGTCATCGTCGTCACTATATGTTTCGGGAGTAGGGGTGTCTGGAATGGGCGGTGTCGTCCCATTCTCACCTCCCACTGAGGTGGTAGGAGCGGGAGTCTCTGGGTTGGGTGCTGGCAAAGGACCATGAGTTGGAGTTTGAGGTTGGGGAGGAGGAATTGGCGCCAACCTTATAGTGGCATTGGGACCTTCAACTTGGACATCCTCGGCACCAGCCGGGCTTGCTATTGTTGTTGTCGCGGTAGTGATTGTCGTTGGGGTGGCTTCAAGGGGCAGTGTTGCGGGTGGGACTGTGGGGGGTAGTGTGGGCGCGACTGTGATGTTGATGACAGGTGCTGTGGGGGGTTGGGTTGATTTTGCAGAATTATTTGGAGCACCTAGAGAATAATGGGATATTAAGTTAAGCACATTAAAGTGGCTTTCTCTAAATTCTTTCTAAGAAGTTAATGCCATGTTTCAGATACAGTCCATCCACTTAAGATGTCTGCCCGGCTGATTTAAGACCTACTTTACCAAGTCACGTCATTATCTTTTACTGACTGGGGATTCCAGTGTTTCCCAGCTATATCGTGGTTAATCATTTGCACCTCGCAAATTTTTACGTAATTCTTTTCATTATATGATTTTTTTTTTTTTTTTAGTCAAGTCTTACGCGCCTTCAGTCTAGTACCATATTGTGCTGCAACATACCAGGCAGCCCTTAAGTCTACTACAAGAGATGCAGCAGAGCAATAAGACCAAGAAAAAGAGGCAGAAAAGGTCCCCAACTGAGCTCCAGTAATCGTGAGTTATAGAGACAATGTGTGTATGTGGATATGTAATCCTGAAAGGTCATCATTAGAAATACACACATCTTAAGGACCCTGATTCTGACCCTGAAAAATAAAATAAAATAAAAAACATGACACAACACATACTTTTCCGTTACAGTGGTACCTCTACTTTCGAACGTCTCTTCATACGAAATTTTCATGTTATGAAACGCCTCAACAGGAAAACATTGCCTCTAATTACAAAAGAAATTTCAAGAAACGAAAGGTAAAAATACAGTATGGGTTGCAAGTCGCAGCTCCAAGTTTCCTGAACACAACATACATATAGCTGCTCTGCCATTGGCTATTACCGAGCATTATCCTGGCATCCCATTGGCGAAGAGGGACCTCTACCGTATGTGTCAATATGTGCAGATAAATAAATAGATAGATAGGGGGGCTTGGTACGGATTAGGGCATTTACATGGAAAATGCGTCTCTACTTACAACATTTTCTAGTTAAGAAATTTCTTCCGGAACCAATTAATTTCAAAAGTAGAGGTACCACTGTAATTGTTACACTACTTTATGAAAATTGAAATGTACTGTATCTGTACAAATGCTCTTACTTGTGACCAGGACATGATCTTGGGTTGAGACCCTGAGGGCGAGACCTAGCAACAGGAGCAAGGGACACGCACCCATTCTGCCCTATATCAAGAACATTAAAATAAGTGATTAATTTTGATCATGAAGAATATTTTTAGGGGGGAAAAAAATCCAAAATATATTTTAAAAATAAAAATCATATGATGCAGTGTTTTGTGATGACCTGCACATAATAAAATACTTTATTGACATGGTGTATGATTCTGAATATACCATACTTATGCTTTATTATGTTTTTGTTGGTAAAAGTGAATCCATGATTAGCCTGTGTTTACCTGAAAAAAACGAAGTTGAGATCAGTCACTCATTCGCACAGCAGTTTTCTGGAACACAAGGGAGGACAAAGTGTTACGCAGAGAATCAATTCCACCTTTTACACATAAACTTGCTCTTTGTCAAGATAAGGAACATCACATGTAGTCAGTCTTGTTTGTATGCACTCATGACCATCATTTAAAAATTTTACAAGTGATGTGACTAGACCAAAAGCTTAGCACCTTGGAATGAGAATCCCTCTGCACCTCACAAACTGATTTGAATCTGAGTCAACTGGCAACAATTCTTAAAAAAAATAAAATAAAAATAATCTGACGGTGTAACTTCTCATTACTTTTATAATAAAGCTTTTTCAGTCATGACGACAACATTTCTTTGACTAAAATATAATAGCACACATTTACTTTCCTTATCTTTTCTTCAAACAAAATTGAAGTGGTATTTTCCAGTACATACTTGTTAAATGTTACATTCTTATGTACAACCGATACCGGAGACTCAACAGTTACCTGTTACTCAAAGTTGCTCCCCTTTTCGGGAAAAAAAAATTGACAAAATCATTGTCAGCAGAGACTGACATGCTGCTGCTCGTCTCTTAGGCATGTTGTGGCTTGACTGCCGTGCAAATATTTGTATTCATGATGTCAACTCAGCAAACAAAAATTGGTAATTTACCCACCAAACAACAAGGAAAATAAGCATTGTTGTCACTTTAATATTTCCTTTGTGAAACTGGTTGATCCACTATTTAAGATATTTGCAGCCAAGGTGGGGGGTGACTGACGGCCACAAGGATTTGGAGAAAGCACGACTACCGCTGGGTGGAAGGGCATACAAACTGTAATCCTGGATACCAATTGAGACGACGGCCTCTCTGACAGAGCTGTGATAATCCGCGGCCCTAATCTCATGATTTTGACCCTGGAATAATCCAGTCCATCTGCTTGTTTACAGATACTTGAGCACTGGGTGAGCCAAAGACGGGCACAACATCCTGCACAAATCGGATGCTTTAAATGGAATATTATCGCTTAAGTGGGTAGAGAACAAATTGGGTGTTAAAAACATAAATACGGCTATTTTTTTCTGATGTTATAAACACACAATTTAATCTATGATGACAACAATCGTTATTTGCTGCTGTGGTACGAGTAACCTAATCGAAAGGATTATCGAAGCATTTGATCACTCACTAATAACGCTTCAAGGAAGATGCACTTGTTAGCATGGTTTTCCTGTTAATATTACAAAAGTAACTCGCGATTGCGCCAAAGAGCCACTGATGGAATGAAGGCGCTCAGGACTTCTATAGTAGGCATGCCAGAAAGCCCTCGTCCGTATGGTAGCTTGTTTTTAGCCCCGCCCTTTCGTCCCAAAAATCCAGATGATTCAAATGGGGAAAGAGTCTAATGCTATATCTCAAAAATTCAGTCCTAAACTATCTTCAATCTTTTCAGCACTTCTCTTCAAACATTTACGATAACTTATTTTGAAACGAATCCCTTTGGAGGATCTTTAAGAAAAATACAGACCTTTAACTGGCTTGGTGATAAAGGTCTTTTGCCCAAAAATCGAAAATGTGCTTTTCGTCCATTTTCGATGACCCAATTTTTGGTCCATCTCTATCGACCAACAACTTGGTGAAGGACGACTTAAATTTTAACAACATATCGACTGCCTCCAACCTTACTGTTGATATTAAGTGCATTGTTTTGAACTGAATAAACAACTAAGCCACCGACAAATCATATTGATTTTTCAAATGCACCCAACTTTCTGTAAGTTAACCGGATAATAAAACCCCATGGCAGTGATTGTAAAAGTACATCATTTTAAAAGTCTTAATTATGCTCTATTGGTGGCGACATTAAGCAGAACGTTAAAAGGAGACTAAAAAATGTAATTGCAAGTGTGCCACAGTGTTGGAAACAGTACGGCAAAGTTTTCACTGACGTGTTGTGATCATTTTTCTTACTCTGTTTCTACACATACACTAAAAGGCATAAAACGCGGGGAAAATACTGTATTTCTGCATATATTGTGACAAAAATGTTAAGACCTGAACGCTGTTTCCTGCGCAACAGTCGACACTGCTGTGCAGAACCTGATACCTCGTATCCAAGTGAGGCGAGTCCGCCCACAACCAACTAATGAAGACAGCTGCTTCGCTGCCTGTGGCCAAGTGCAGACCTCATAGGAGTGAAATCACGCAACAGTGAAAGGGCCGAACTGTTCACATGCCATTTCATTCTTGGGAGTGAAAAGAACCCTTTTAGGTACAATATAAAACAAGTCCCAATTGACACCACCGGGACAACCAAAGGCGAGCTCGGTATTCACTTCATGTGTTTCTCCAACTCTGTCAAATCTTGTCATTTCAGTGGACTTTGACATACAATGGATAGATTAATAAAACACTGTTTGACGAATAGGCGGCCCGGTGGACCAGCGTTAAGCGCGTCGACCTCACAGTGCAGAGGTCGTGGGTTTGATCCCGGCTCTGGGCTTCCTGTGTGGAGTTTGCAGGTTCTCGCCCCTCATGCGTGGGTTTTCACCAGGTACTCCGGTTTCCTCCCACATTCCAAAAAAAAAAAAAACATGCATGGCAGGCTGATTGAACACTCTAAATTGTCCCTCGGTGTGAGTGTGAGCGCGGATGGTTGTTTGTCTGTGTGTGCCCTGCGATTGGCTGGCAACCGGTTCAGGGTGTCCCCCACCTACTGCCAGAAGATGGCTGGGATAGGCTCCAGCACCCCCGGTGACCCTTGTGAGGATAAAGCAGATCGGAAAATGGATGGATGGATGTTTGTTTGACGAAGAACTACTTTTTCAGTGTTTACACACAACTGCGATGTTTTTAACTTTCGTACACTATATGAACTAAGAAGCTATGTGCAAATTTCCATTTTCAGCGGTTTGCAAGGCATGAAAAATATAAAAATGTCCGAATGTAATCTTAATTATTTGTGTATTGGTATAATTCTTACTGGATTAATATGGGAGGATTTCAATCAATATTGAATCGAAAATGAATTGAAAAATCTCCACCAAATAGAATCATGAGGTTGTTAAAAATGCCCATACCTGCTTGGTACATACTGTAGCTTTCTATACACTAAATTAAAGATGCAACAATTAATTGACAACTATCTGATTATGAAATTATAGTTAACTGTTTTTTTTTTTTTTTTTTAATAATTGATTCAAGATACCTCCTTTACCCTAAAATCTTCAGAATTTCAGACTCTTTCACAAAAAATATTCCTCAGATTTTTGTACTCCTCCGTGAAAGTGAATGATGATCTTTGAGTTTATTCAAAATGAAACCTTTTCTAACATCTGCTTTTACTCGGGAAAACAATGACCGGCAGTTTGGGTTCCATAAAGGATTTTGTATTAATCTGGTGCTGGAGAAAACATGTGATCATTGAAATCATAAAACACATTTTTAGTCAGCAGTACAACAAATGAATAAATACGCCTTGAAATGTAAACGGAATTTTGAAGTTATGTGAAGACGAGTGGCTACGCTACAGCTAATGTGACGTGGGAGGACTGTGCCAACTCTGCTTGCTTGTTCGTTTTTCGAGGAAATACGCACAACGGCTTCATTTACCCCACGTCGCTTTGGCGAGAACGCCTCACAAGCGATCGTGGGGAAGTTTCTTGTCAAAATAGCTTCACCTTCAGAAGCGAACCCCAAGTCATGGCTTCCCATGATCTGCGCACTTAGCTGCACGCTTAGATGCAGTTGACTTCTCACTATTACTTTCTATTTACTCCGTCAGCTTGAAAACGAAAGAAAGGCAGGAAACCGTACCAGGCCGCAGATCGGTGGTTTGGGACTTAACTGCTGTCCAACGTCTACGGGAATGAATTCAGCGCTGTCAATAATTGATGTATCAAAATCAACAATGCTCATTTATAATTGCTGGAGGGCCTGACCCAACCAGCCGAAGACCCAATAGTTACAAAGGCTTCCGTTTAAGTGTACATTAGCCTCCGTGCAGCAAAATCCTTCCCTCTGGCTTTTTGCAAGGCATTCTGCTCAACTGGTGGTTGCAGAAAAAGAAAATGGTGGCTTGTCTCTGTCCATTCATTGCATATTAAAACACTTTCTATGTCTTGAGAGTAGGAGGGAGGGGTGTCTGGGCCAACAGGAATACTGTGAATGCCTCTCTTCACGGGAGGCAGAAGTGAGCCTAACTTAGGGCCGCTCCGACTCTTTCTTTGAAACAGACCACAGATTTTATGTCCCCGGTGCCACATACAACAGCCGCAATCCTCTGGACTTCCCTGGCTGAGGGATACGACTCCATGCCGGTGTGGTTTGTGTTTTTGCTGGCTTTCATTCATCAGCTGGTGGCTTGTTTGGGAGGCGAGGAGAAGCACAGGGCTGCTATTTGGGCTAATTTCACCAGCATGGGTGGCCTTTTTTTTTTTTTGCCTGTGATGAAGCCTAAATTGATGATTGGCTGGCATCGGGCTCCGGGGGATCATAAAATTCACTGGAGTAAGTTGAAGTAATGAGTGAGTGAGTGGCTTTGCTCGACGTCGACTTCATTGTGGGGAACGGATGAGGAGGTGCAAAGAAAAACCTCCCCACAGAAGCCACAGTGACCCTTAAGAGTTGTGTGGAGCCAAAAGACTCAAATGACAAGCCCGGTCACTTTGTGTCACTTGAGTCTGAATTCAACTACCAGTGATACATTATCTATCGATTCCCAACATCATTTAATAAATGTTCTCCAGCGAACTACTATTAATGTTATTGATCTGAAAAGGGAGGTGGGGTAAGCAATAAAAGTGATTTGAGTAGCTTTATTTGAAATGATTGGAATGAGAAGATTACCGCCTTGAAGTGCATTTGCTCCTCGTGTGACCAACCTTGTAAGATGAAACAAACGTGTCCACAAGGTGACGAAGCCATACGAGCTTAAACTTCACGTTGGTTGATTATCTGTGATCGGAAATTGGAACAAATCAAGTATGAGTGGGCTTATCAAAAACCTTTTTTCACTCACAAAATCCATATTTTTCAGCGAATACAATCAATAGAAGGACCAAAATGTCATGTCCACCATCTTAATATGTGACATGTGAATGTATAGTATGGAAGTACTTTGCATCCTCGAATTAGATATCCTTTATTTGTCCCACACTGGGGAAATGTATACAAATAAAACAGAATAATATATTGTATGTTTTCCCCTTCCTTTGGTTAAGTTCTTGCAGTTTTATCAAAAGGACATTTATTACTTTTTGAACCAAACAAATATTTACATGGAACCCATGAATGAATACCATTTAAGAAGGTGCTGCAAGCGCTAATTGTACCGTTTCCTATTCTTCAAAAAGAAAATCATTCATTGGAGTTCTTTCACAATGGGGAATTAAACCGCAAACTCACATCTCAGACTATCCCACCACACTTGTCTCCTCCTTTTCCTCTCAAAAGATAAGAGGCCGAGGCAAGAAGAACAGACATCTCAGGCATGACAACATGGCAGCGGGATGACGGTACATTCTCAAAATCCACTTAACGCTCTCATTTTTTTATGTTTTTTTGGCTGCTACACAGAAAGCCTCTTCACTTGATCCACGCTTCAGACTTCTTTTTTTTCTTTCTCCAAATTGGTGAAGAGACAACCGCAGTTTGTCCTCTACTGTGAAGTCCCCGATGCGATTTAACGACAGCTCAAAAAGGAAGCGCTAGTTTAGTTTCACAAATCACAGCAGCAATGTATTTCCATACTGTCATCATATCGTTAGACATGCTGCAGACATAACTGAGTTCTATATAGTTGTGCTATTTAATCCTCGGATTGCCACAACAACAGTAGACGGTTCCGTAGTTTCAGGATGCGCTGCCATTAGGAGTGGAACGATTCTTTTTAACAGCGATTCGATTTGGATCCTGACTCGTGGTTGCTGATAAGTTTCAAGGACACTAATGGTTCAGAACACAGCATTCAACTCGTAAGGGTCTTCAACACAACAGATAATTCACATCCTCCACATCCACTTGGTTTGGTGTCACAAATTAAGCCACTCGGCGTTATTTTAATTCCCTGCATTGCACAGCGAAATCACCGGATCCACCAACAAATTACACGCGGCTAAAAATCAACGTCCCACAAAGCTTCAGAATTATCTGGATGGAGCTGTATTTGTCTCGTCTGGGGCAGGAGCACAGTGCCCCTCCATGGAAAACTCTGCGCGCCTACAAGCGGAAATAAAAATACAGTTCTTGTCCCACCCAAAAAAAGTCAATTCCGAGCAGTGCGCCATGGTATACTTTCGGTGTCCATTCGATACTGAAGTTTATCCACAATCTAGGCCAACAGTGAAAAGTATGGTGTGAGGGTCACTGGAGATGCACAAGACAGAAATAACACATTGTCTATAAATAGCTTGAAAAAAAAAATGGTATGGACAGCAAAAGGGAGATGGTACTGGCACTTAGCAGTTAATACAATGAAGCGCCCTGACATCATGTGCACAGATGGTTCTACATATGGCATTGTGATGTAGGTGCGCATACTCAAACCTAACAAATGGGATGGGGGGGGGGGAATTTTTCATTGTAGGCTGTTTAGGGAAGAAGAATTTTGCACTTCACACTCCCACACACCCTCACACACACACACACACACACACACACACACACACAGTATTCATTCACTTTTCACAGATGATACTGTACGCGCCATGATTCCCGCGATAAGTGAATTTTCATGCAATAGAGGTTGACTTTTTTTTTTAACTCAACTCAACTGTATTTATATAAACACACCATTACGAACCCCACCTCTTGGTTTTAACCCTTCCAAACACTTGTCACACTTAATAAATGTAACTTTAAAAATGCAAAATGAAGAATAAATACCGCCGCTGTAAATTTTTGTACTTCCGTCTTAAGTTCTTCGTCTTCCATTTAGAAGACAAAGAAGAAGATGAAGAAGAAGACAAAAAAGAAAATGAAGAGGAAAAACAATCATCAATGAAACTAACTTTTGGTTTGTACAACATGGATTTACGGCCCCAAAAGGTGCATTACCCACTCGGATTGTACCTTTGGCTGCAATAAGACACGGTATTCTGGTTAAGGTAAGTCCTTTTAAACTAAAAAGAAAAACTTTAAACGTATTTAATAAGCTTCGTTCTCTCGTGTGTATTCTATATTTTTTTGACTGGTCCGACGTTAGAAGGCAGAGAACTAGCAAGAAAACTCACAATAGATGAAGTAATGGTCATAAATGAAAACCCCGTGACAGAGTGCAGCCGCAATAAACGAACCGCAAAGTAGTGAGGGAACACTGAATAAGAGAAACCATGTGGAAAAGGACTGCACTCCTTCACTCCCTTGTTAAGAGTGTTGTACAGTGTCAAAATGACAGGATTTATTGGAAAAGCTTCCTGAGGTATGGGGGATATGTGCTGCTTCTCAGAGTATGTATCCAGATGTGATGAGTCAAGCTTAGTAGACATAGCAATCGGTGTTTGTCAGTTGTTACAGTCCAGGTTCTTCCACGCATCCTCACTCCTGATCATGCATCACTCTTAACAAGACTTGGAAGCAGTCAAAATATGACCCTGTGGCATTTACATTTGCCCTAGGTAAGTCAAGTGTGAGCAACACTTAGAACTAACAAGCAAATAACAGTGGAATTAGAAAAGAAGAATCCATGTGGCATAAACTTTAAAATAGTGTGCTCTGTTACACTGGACGAGAGGGGAAAGGTGTATCTTGGAAGACAAGGGGGAGGAAAACCTCGGAGGAAGTTCTGAAGGGGGATTCAGGTGCTTTCGTTACTAATGTTGGGGAGATCTTATTCCTGTTTGTTGCTCTTGTGTAAACCCCCCCCCCCAACCCCGCTCAACTATCTTCACTCGCACCCTCTCCGAACATGCAAATAAACACAGTGGCGACCCAATAAAGTGGACTCCCCAGCGAGACAAAACTAGATCTCTCTCAACTCGCTGTCGTGGTTCCAGCACAAATCACTTCTGCTTCTAAAATCATCAGTGGACCTTTCTTTCCACATAGCCCCCCCCCCCTTCACTAATATTTCCCTCCCTGCCTCCGAGCTACTCGTCGAGTAGTAACAAAGAGCTTGTACAACTTAAGGTCTCTAGATTTTTCCAAACACGAACATGGCAAGTCTCCCCATTGCTCAAGTTTCAAAGTAAGGTACCTGTGAAAAAGTAAACGCTAAGGGTGACAAAAAGCAAGAGGAAACATGATGGTACCGACAGTGGAACATGTGTGATTCAGGTTTGGAACAACCCAAACAACAAAACTCACCAAGACTCCAGTAACGCCCAGAGGAAACTCTGAAGCGAGAAAAGGCCAAAGAAAATAGGAATGTGGGCCCGCTTGCTGGTCCACGCTGTCGGCCACGGCCCGGCCCCTGTCTCCACACCCCTGGAGCCGAGAGGGACGGCGGGGTGGGGGACCTGGTGATATCAGAGGAGGGAGGCGAGATCTGGGACACGCCGCCAACACTTGGCTGTCACTTGACGTGCTAAATCCAAGAAAACGAATCGCAATCCGGATCAAAATCCTCAATCCGCCCTCACGTATCGCCGCTTCAAAGTGTATCTTCCGGTCATATTTGGGGGCTTAATCCCAACTGTTAGTCCGCTCGGGCGCGTCGGCCGACCACTCTAGACCGCCATGTTGTGTGTCTGTGTATGAGGAAGAATGGGAAGCGAGCGGCGTTCTCCCAAACCAGGCCCTCTGCTGTCCAACCGTCTCCTCTCCAGAGCTGCTCTGTACACTGCAGCGACATCCGCTGGCTCTTGGAAGTATTGTAGCACATCTGCCGCGCGGAGCGCCTGGGGGCCTTTCTACGGGTTCATCTGTGTCCACAAAGCCGGGGCAGGAAATCGACACATTTCGGGCGGTGAACCAGAATTTGGACTCCGTAAATCAGGGATGGGCAACTGACGGCACCCTTAATGGACCCTTGACGAATTACAAAAATAATGATCACAAAAAATATAGATTATTTTTCTTTTTACAGACATAAAAGTGCTCTTAAAAAATGCTGATAAACACTCAATATACGGTTCCCACGAAAAACTGGAGCAGAACAAAGTATGAAAAGATATTGAAGGAAAAAAATTTCTTGAATATGCAAACTCGCAGATGTGGAACTGCAAATATGCGTTGGCTGTAGTTTTAAGTTGTAATATCACCATTCCCTACTAGATGGCAGACAGAGCCCAGTTGCACTCCCATTGGGCCTTACGTTGGTTCATAACACGAGTAGGGCTGACAATTCTTTTGCTGATCTGGAATGCTATGCAGGACAAACACATCATCTCAATAAAATTACAGTCTTGAGTGAGTTTTTTTGTGAGAGGAAAAAAAATGACAAACAAGTTCTTGCACTTAATGTTGTTTTGCTGTTCAGCAGTTTTGTGATAGCCTTCAATGATCATTTTTATTCAAGAGTCCATCGTAATAGGGAAAAATGTACACTGTTGGGTTAGGATAGTGGATCTTTTATACATGCATTGAGACATGTTTTCAGAAAAATGCAATATATTAAAAGCATGTATTTTGCACATATGCATGTATTTTGTCCCTATCTATGGCATTTCTGTCATTTAAATCTGGTGAGGTCAAGTGGCTGCAAAGTGTGTGCTTCCTCTAACAGTGAATACAGTACACAAAGATTCTGACAGTTTGTCACATCACACCCATTTTATTTTTCGTATCTCATTATAAATAAAGAGGCAATATAACTTAACAGTTGAGATAATACATAATCTGAAATGTTAAAGAACATTTACTACTGCTGTGCACACTCGTGACATTCAAGTGGGAATGACTGTAACAAATGCCTAAAATACTTCATGCAAAAAAAAAAAACAAAACCTAGCAACAATAAGACTTTTGGGATACTGCAGTTGTGCGTTTCAAGATCTAATCAGTGACAACGATGTTAAGTGTGAGCAGGTCCAGTGAATAGAGGAGGTCCACAGGAAGCAAATGAATAAGCCCGTGTCTGTCTGTGCAGCTGACAGAGCTGCAAATGATTGAATGATTAAGCAGCCAGGTTAGCGATGACAGCTCGGGTGAACTCGTCGCTCGTGGCGTAACCACCAAGGTCTCCAGTGCGCACCTGTTGCAAACATAAGGACAGTGCGTTACTGTATGTAAGCACAGCTGCAGCGGCACATGTCTACATGCGGTATTAAGGCCAGCATGCTCGAGAGCATTTAAAAACAACGCCACAGAACACAGTGAGTTGTGTCAAATGCTATTCAGTTTAGTCTTACGCTCTCTCTCTCCTATTCCTACAGCGTTCCCGCCCAAAACACAAATTCACAAGGAGCAACTGGATATAGGTGTCCTCCTGATATAAACCCACCAGACAGTCTTTGTACAACAGCACAAACCATTGTGATCAAGGACAAGAGTTATCCATTCATTAACCGGAACGCTTCACCATACTTATGGTTGCACAGATAACAGCATTTATATTGGTTCTCATTAAACTCGATGTACTGTATGTCAAATGTTGCATCATGTGAGTTTATTTACAGTTTAGCAGTACAATTGCTTGTCCTAAAAACCCAACACTACCAGGATCCAGCAAAAATATTTATTCCAGAACCAACTTATCTGAATTTACAATTCTTAACGGAATCTTATTTGCATACACGTAACTTTTAAAAAATGGCCTTAACAACCTGCCCTGGAAAATAAAATTGGTTCCATTCATCTAGATGCCAAAAATATACCGTTTTCAGCAGACAAGAAACAATACAGCTCACATACGAGTCTAATCACCGATAGTGGAGATGGTCTGCTCTGGTCCATTGGTGATTTTAATGCTTAACAAGCACATACAAAAACAACAAGAGCATACCAATTCAAAAGGGTGCGTCTGTAGTTGTCTTTATTTGCTTTATCAAATTGTATAGTTACACTTTTTAATGAATTACGGTAATGAACATGAATATTCTCAAACAGTATTGAACCCTCCCTCACCCCCCACCCCAAAAAAAAATACCTCCCAGTAGAGCAAAGTAAGACCTGCAAAATAATTCAAAGTTGAGGAGGTTTAACAAACAGTTTCACCACGTAGAAAAACGTCACACCGCATTGGTGGATGCCTTGCTGTGAACTTAAACGGATTTCAATAATTTGATAAGTCACAGAACATTCAGCGTTCACGTACAGTGGCGGTCCAGCTTTTAATTGTTGAAATGACACTCTGTTAGTGTATACATTGTTAAGCAGCAGCTCCATGATCATTGTCAGGTTCTCGTAACACATCAATAGGATGAGTAAATCTTGCCAACCGTCATGTGGTCAAGGAGACAAGCACCAAATAACATTTCGTGACATATCAATGTCCACATTAAAGAAACATCATGGGTAAGTGTACGTAAATGGAAGAACACATCTAAATAGATCGGTATCGCAGGTTTTCCAAAACAGCACGCACAAAGTCTCCTGTGGTACAGTAACCGCCAAGGTCTCGCGTCCGTACCTGGGACATGCAAAGACACACACATACACACGGTTAAATTTAAATGTTGGGTTCCTGAAGTTACCAGCGCTTTGTGAAGCTCTTCTCGCCTCAGTTAGGGGCAAATGCAATTCCACTTCAAAAGTATTACTGTAGTAAACTATGAATGGAACTGAGCCAAGAACAACAAATAGTACCCGGTACTTCCTACGTTAGCCAATGGAAAAGCGTTCTTAGCAAGCAAGGCCAAGTTGGTTCCATGCAGTTGTAAAGGAGCATTGGACAACAGGATGGCAAACTTCACTTTCAGCTGAGGATCACATTTAAACAGTTGCCATTCCATGCCTCGGATGAACAAGCGTGTCAAAATACAAACACCTTCTGCCAACTCCTTAAGAAAGCGACAAGAGCTGAAAGTCCGAGCATTTTCAAGATGCCATCTGGCAAGCAGACAGTGAGCCGAGACTGAATGTTAGACATGTTGTGGCACATGCCAGTCTGAGTCATTTCAAGAAGAGAAAGAGACCGAGTACAAAAGAAATGCAAGAAGATCTCCAATATTTTCCCACTTACTAGAAATTTGTGAGTAAGTGAGTGCTAATGCTGACAGCAGGAATGTGGAACACAAGCCACATAAACACCGAGCACTGGTTTCAGCTTGTTTCGGCAGGTTTTATATTTTCACATCCGGCTTTAATGGTTTTAGTGACATCTGTTGTATTAATAGGCGTTAATACATTCTGAGAGGCTGAATGGAGCAGTAGGCACGCATGAGACAGAAAGTAGCTCGTGCACACTCACCTTCCCTTGTTTGATGACCCTTTTGACAGCATCTGACACCATTTGGGAGTGATAATCCAGACTGCAAGGCAAAACAGATAACAATGACAGGATTGACGATACATGTGCAGTGTTTCACACGGGATGGACGCAGACTTGAGACAGCTCTCACAATCGGTGCGAATCAGACCCAGATCATCAAGCAAATTTGATTATTTCTCAAGGACGACCTCAGTAAATACAAAATGTAGTTTCTAAAAGGACAGTTTTGGAAAAGCTGAGTTCGATTTCACTGGCAACACCCAGTCCTGGTTACTGCCAAAATTGTTTAATGGAGCAAATTCCTTCAGAAGTATCAGTGTGAAAAAGTGAAATATGACACAAGAACTGAAAGAAATGTTGTCTCATGATTAAAATTATATATCCATCCATCCATTTTCTGATCCCCTTTATCCTCAAAAGGGTCGCAGGGCGTGCTGGAGCCTATCGCAGCTGTCTTTGGGCAGTAGGCGGGGACACCCTGAACCGGTTGCCAGCCAATCGCAGGGCACAAAGAGACGAATAACCATCCGCGCTCACACTCATACCTCGGGACAATTTAGAAGAGCGTTCAATCAGCCTGCCATGCATGTTTTTGGAATGTGGGAGGAAACCGGAGTACCCGGTGAAAACCCAGGCAGGCACGGGGAGAACATGCAAACTCCACACAGGCAGGCCGGAGCCCCGGGATCGAACCCAGTACTTCTGCACTGTGAGGTCAACGCACTAACCACTGGACCACCGGGCCGCCTGATTAAAATTAGTTTTTAATGATATATAACATTTAAGTTTGACAAAGATCTCGGGAAGGGGGCAAATACTTCTTCACAGCACTGTATATTTGTGCCCAACAATTACATGTGTTATTGGAATATGCTGCCATGAAGTGAACTCTAAACTCACTAAGTCAGAAGTTGGCTTACTTGAGGTGCCGGAGCATGTTTGCGGAACTCAGCAGCATGGCTGTGGGGTTGGCAATGTTCCTGCCTACTGCTTGTGCAAAGGGATGGCGGGCACCCTTAAAAGAGAACAAAAAAAAAAAATGATAGGAAAGACATTTATTTTGGGTACCCATTGCAAAACGTGTCAGACGTGGCTAATTGCTCAACACATACGACAAGGGACCAGTGACTGACCGACTGAAATCAGCAACAAAATCTAAAGCAAAGAGGAGAAATGGAAGGTAGAAAGATACCGTTTCAAAAACTGCATATTCTGCACTGTAGCTTTCGCCGGGAACAACGCCGGCCCCTCCTACCAGTCCTGCTGCCAAGTTGTCAATAATGTTTCCATACAAGTTGGGCATTACCAGCACATCAAACTGGTAAGGGTTCTGAACCAACTGCAGCAGGGGAAATAAAGCAACAGCAGAACGTAGACGAATTAAACAAAGGGAATGACCAAAAACAAAAATTTAGAAATGTCCAGCATTTGGGAATTTCAACCACTCATGGGCACACCCATGAAAACACATTCAAACTATGACTAAATTGGGGAGGATGAAAATGTATATTTACCTGCATGCAACAGTTATCGATGATTATGTTCTCATATTTGATTTTGGGGTAGAGCTGTGCCACTTCCGCACAGCTCTGCAGAAAAAGGCCATCGCCTAATTTCCTGTTATTGGACAACGTGATTAGGGCAAGGGTTGTTATGACACAAATAATATCATTCAACCGACGAGTATATGAGGATACGCTTCCATATATGCACAGCGGAAAGGTATTCAATCTGCTTTTCTCACATGATATTGGCCTTGTGAACAGCCGTGACCTTGTTTCGCCCCTTCTTGGTGGCATAATCGAAGGCAAACTTGGCGATGCGCCTTGACTTCTCTCTGGTGATGATTTTCAGACATTCAATCACACCAGTCACACTCTGGAAAAGCAAGAAAATTCCTTGTCTCCAACAACTATAGATCTGAGGTCACCAGCATTTTGTAACCAGAGAGCTACTGCATTTCTTGGGCACTGATTCATGTGAAGGGCTACCAGTTTGATACACACTTACACAAATTTGTGGAAATTATTCAACGGTAAATGATCCTCTCCTTGTGATTGCATCCACTAGCTTGTCTCCACTCCTGATATGGTTTGGTCATCTAAAATCACTGATATGTGGCGCTTTATTTATTTATTTTTTTAGATGCTTTTCAGAGGCCCCGCGTTGGTGACCCTTGACCTAGATCTTTAATGCGGTGCACTGATGAAATAACATCCCCTCAAAGCAAACCACAATGTTATTTTTCAACTGTAGCAAGTATTTTTCTGTCCGCTGTCCTAGTGGCTCTTCTTCAACCTAAGGAATCATCAGGTTTACCTCATGCTCCAAGGAGCTGTACTCCCCCTCTGTCTGTTCTCGGATGATCACAAGGTCCAAATTGTTGTGGCGCGTGGTGTAGCCCGGCAAGCTATTCACGTGAACCACATTGGCAAACAGGTCCAGTTTACGTCTGATGAAAGAGCATCGAGGTGTTTGTTTTTATTTTGTTAAAGAAAAACAACTGAATCAAAATATCGGAAGACAATGATATAGTCTAAGTTGTACCTCAGTTTCATCTCATAAGAAGCCAACTCCCCTTTGAACTCCATGGGTGTGTGGATCTTTCCTGAATAATCAAAAACATGAAATTACTTTTTTTTCTTTCTTTATAACCTAATTTAACTTGAGACTAATCAATCGGTCAGGTGAAATACCTTTAATTGCTACTCTGTTGCTCTTCATAGAGTTCAACACTTGCTCAAGCTTCTCCTCGCTGGCCATGTTCTGTACTTCACTCAAATGAAACTCCTCAAATTCCACAGGGACATCGCCTGCCTGTGTTGGGGGCAAATAAGAGAAAAGTGCGAAGCAAGGAGTACAGAATTTACATTCGGTTTTAACAATTAAGTAAAACACAATACAAATCTAGAATTAGTAGCTCTAAAATCTATTCATTTAATATAATTGGACGAAAGGACAACTTTATAGAATGTATCTGTACTAAAACACATATGAAGAAGTTCCCTGTCTATCGACAGGTTCCGATTCATTTGGGTCATTAGAGAAAGTACTTTGAACACATCCTTGACAGCAGACATCAGCTCAGGTCCAACACCATCTCCTGGAACCATTGTGACCTTAAAGGTTGCATCTGCACGAGCGGGCGGCGCTTCGGAACCAGAGCGAACCGCAGATATGCTCAAGGGTCGACAGAAAAGCGGCTGCCACTGTGGGCCACTTAGACCCTGAAGACAGAAAAAAAAACACACTGAGGATTGGATGATATCATGCTAAATCCCAAGGATGGACCACAATAATTAGTTTTTTTTTCTATGTTAGGTAATGTGGTAGGCACAATCATTAAATGACAGGCTCAATATAAATGTGTATCCAGAGACACATTTATATTGAGCCTGTCATTTAAGCCATGGCTTCCTGAGGGTACATCAGCTTTGTGATCAATTTGACGGGTCCACATTTCACACCGACTATTTAGAGATTATTAGGCAAATAGGGATCAGTCACTGCACAACTTTCTGCATTGTATCGGAAGGCTGATGCCTATCCAAGTTCCCTTTTTACTTTTGGCGATTATTTTATTTAGATGGACTTGTTAAATCAACGAAGGCGTAAGGAAGCCCCAACGACAGAGTTGCTTAAGGAGGAGAGTAGTAACGGGGAAGTGTTAGCACAAATCCGTATGGGACACTAACTAGCAATAAACTAGATTGATATTAAATATCACAAAAGACACGGTCAGTGGGATCTCTTACACACGCGTTTACTGTTGTGAAAAACACAAATCAGGTTATAAACATTTGCGCACTCACCTTGATCAATGTTACCAGTCCACTTCGCATGACAGCAGCCATAATCACAGAAACCAGTCTCTTCTTTGTGGAATAGAGGCAGTTATCCTGTGATGGCGCCACCAAGTGGAAAATGTGCGCAGTGACAGGGCAAGATTTACACTGCATTTCTTGTGTTATTTTGTTTATTTTTTCGAAGAGGTTTGCTAAGATAGAAAAAAAGTTAGTTTCCACCAAGACTTTGGCGTAATACAAAACTGATCAAAAAGAAACTTCAGGGAAATTGTTCGAACCCAGCAACAAAACTTAAGTGAAGACGGTGTTTGACAAATTAACATATACAGTATGTTCAGAAACTAGACACATTGGTACTTGCAGAATATAAAATACTTGAATTAACCTATTGAAGTTTGATTGTTGAATAATGTTTGGAGAAAGCAAAATAACATGTCTCGTTGGTCAGAGTTGGTTAGTACAATCTTATACATGCATCCCTGTTTAGCGATGGCTGGATGCCCCTCTTTTTATTCTTATATCTTTGCAACGCGATATTATGGAAGCGTGCAGTGTCATCAGTTGACATGGTCCCCATCCTAAATAGATCAAGGGATTCCCAGTCCTATTTCAGTCCAATGACAGTGACTGTTGGAATACAGAATGATTTCGCTGTCATTATGTGGAAGAGCAGAACTCAAATAGCAAGCCCTTTTTAGTACAGTATTATATTTGGTCATCCATGCAAGGCGAGTAAAATATTGGCCATTTTTGGGGGGTTGTCATGCAGAACAGACTCAAAACCCAGCTCAACTAACTTAAGAAAGAAAAAACAATCAGTGGAAGAAGATATTACATTCGGTTTGTTCATTCACAAGATTAGTTCAGTATGCAAAATATTTGGTCTGCATGTGTGCAGTGATGAACCTGGTACGCTTTTAATGTTTTCGGTATGCGTGTGCACCTGTGCACCACTTCAGTGCACCCCTGGTTGTAATCCTTACATAAGGAAAAACTATGGGTACCTGTAGTTATAAATTTGGCTGCTGGAGGACTGCAAATCCGCCTAAGGAGTAACTCTATGTAACATTCACTTCTTAATTTACAGCTTTTGTCTGTAGGCACCAAACCGGTTTAAAAAAAAAAACATACTACACAAAATGTTACGAGATGGCGAAGTAATTGGTGGTTCCGATTGACGGATATTCTGATGAGCGTCTGTTTCAGTGGGTGGGGCTCATTGCTTGGAGCCTGCGAGTTAAATTTCGGGGCCAAATATACGTAGTATAAGGTGCCTCTTCAGTGGATGACAGTGGCAGCGTGGTATGTGAGTTTACCATATATGGGCAAAGGCAAGCGGCGTGAGGGCGCTACCTGCTTCCGGGTTTGTGTGACCAGGGAGTGCTTCTCAACCTGCTGTCTCCTTCTGATTCATTGATTTCAAAGTGCAACTTCAAAGCAAGTGATCAACAGGAACAATGTCGTATGAACTGAGTGAGTATGCATGCTGAGTTGCCTCACGAAAAATGCAACGCATGTCTCTATTTATATGTTTTTCTTCCCTCAAGCCAGTCAGTCGTTTAGCACAAAGTTAGCTAGCTAGCCTCGCCCTCAGCTGAAATGAGCATTTTTGACACATCTTTCCTTGTGAGCCAGACACTTATAAAACTCTGGTTGCCTTGTGTGTGTATGATTATTTTAACGGTTAGTTGATCCGGTCGGAAATGTTTCCCGTCTTAGAACGTTTATGACTTCGCTCGTTCTTTTTGTGAGTTAGCGTGTGTGACGGTGTTGTGTGTTAATGTGATCACGCATTGTTATGACATGCCAGAACTGGCTGGATCTCCCCTCTTCCTCCAGGAAACCCCACCTATTGGTGCTTACTGATTTTTAAAGCGCGTTTACTGCATGGTCTTATCTACTGATTCCAGGTGATGAAAAAACAACCCACGCTCCCAAAAAAATCTGGGAAAAAAACTATAGTCAATGCGGAAGCTGTCGTGCATATTAAGCTGCTCCTACCTTTGCTGCTCCACTTGTGATAATGCATATGGCTTCTGAGCTGGTGAACAAACATATAAATGAAATGTGGCTCTGTATTAAGAAAACAAAATGACTGTGATAGTGAGCATGCCGAAGGCAATTAGTGTATTTTTCCCAAATTTGCTTGAAGGATGCTCTGCGTATTAAACATTGCTCAACGTCAGTGTTTCAGCAACCTTTTATTGAGACAAGGCACCTATTTTTCATTTGAAACATCTCAAGACAAACCACCAAACTAAAGTGTCACAGTAAGAATGAATACTGAAATAATTATCATCTCACCTCAATTTTATTGGTAAAAATAAGATTATTAAATCTGGTTGTGTTTAATTAAACTCGAACCTAAACGATGACCTATTTTGAATGGTAACAAATTAATTGTACCAAGATTTAATTGTTCTACCTATTACTATACGGCACTCACATATATAGCAGAGTAAAGATATATTTGTTTTTAATAAATCCCATTTTTTTTTCTGATAAATTAAATTGCATAAAATCAAACATTGGTCAAGGTGGAATGAGTATAGGAGAAATGAGAATATATGAATTTTTATTTTTTATTTTTTAATCAACTTTACTATTTCTCAGACACAAACAATTTTCATCATTTCTTTTTAGGACAAGTGTTTGCCAGTCTCCCGCAGATGGAAAGGGGAGTTGCCAAAGTGATTAGCGGTGATCCCAAAGGCAATAACTTCCTCTACACCAACGGGAAGTGTGTCATCATCCGGAACATCCATGTAATTATTCAAAAAAATAATTCTAAACGTCAATTTAGAGACATTTTATTTTGTCGTGTATGCACCCACTCTGAATCCAGGAAGTGAAAATGTGGCAACCCGATACTATGCATGCCTAGCCTGAGGAAAAACCTGGTCATGACAGAAACTCGAGGATTTCTAACTGGCTCTGTGACAGAAAAGCAGGTCTTCATGAAAAACAACCATTTTATGACAATTTCGAAAGGAACGATACCTCAGAAGTCAACTGCTGTCTCTCATGCTATCTACAAGTCTCCACCATTAATTATCAGACTGATTTGAAAACACCTGTTAAGGGATTCCAGTGTACTGTCGCCTTAACGTACACAATATATATTTTTCTCAGTGTGTGGGCACAATTGCAAGGCTCACTAAAGATTCTAGAAAACAAATCCCAAAACACAGTGAGCTACAAACTTATTTCAGTTTTGCAGATTCAGATCAGCTGATATCTTTTTTTTTTCTCCCCCCACTCCTCTTTGAAGAACCCAGCCATAGCAGACATTTACACCGAACATGCCCATGCAGTTTCTGTAGCGAAGTATGCCCCCAGTGGATTCTACATCGCTTCTGGAGGTAACAAAAAGAGTCCATGTAGGAAAATGTATCACATACTGTCGGTGGACATAATGTATCACCGCAATAAAATCTTTGTGAATTTTTATGATTATTATTCTTTTTTTTTTTTTTAAAGATGTATCAGGAAAGATCCGCATCTGGGACACCACGCAGAAGGAGCACCTCCTCAAGTATGAGTACACTCCAATATCAGGCAAGGTCAAGGACATCGCGTGGACAGAGGACAGCAAGAGGATTGCTGTGGTTGGGGATGGACGAGAGAAGTGAGCATCTGGCGTTCCGTTTTAGATGTCAAAATGAAACTTGTCACCGACCGCCATCTTTAACTTTGTGCAGGACTTAAGAGCAAAATATGACATATGAGGAGAGTCATGTCTTACTGCTAGTTTTTCCTTATGTGGTGTGTTAAAATAATTTTAACAATTAGACAATTGAATGTGATTGTACACAAATGGCCCCAAGAGAGATGAAACCGTCTGAAAGTCATAGGACACAAACATAAAAGTTGTTTCGTTTGTCATTCAAAAATGATAGATTGAGCAAGCCTGTGTAGTTTTTGCAATTAGAAATGGCAAAGCGTGACAAACCAAAGTCATTTTTCATGCATGGAAGACCTCACAAAATTATTTGAAGAAACATATGGGCCATTTTTTTTTTTTAAAGAATTTAATTTGTAGTCTTAATTGTTTGTTTGTTAGGGACATAACAAAAACAGGTTTGAAAGATGTGAGCGCATCTGTACACAAACCAATGAATCGGTCTCAATATAGCTTGAATTGGGTATAAAAAAAAAAATAAAAAAAAAGTGATAAATAGGTAGACGTTTTGATAGTTCTGATGATTTGTTTCATTGAATTTCATTGACCGGAATAGTTTGGGCTTTGTAGTCATTTAACATGCTGCTGTCTGTTAACAAACGACAAAAGCTACAATTATACATCTTCTCTAGTCCAGGATAAATCTCTTTGAATGGCATATCACATTTACAGTACTGGCCAGTTGTTCTTTTATTTGTATTTCAGGCAGTGATTCTTTCTTGTACAGCCACCGTTAGGGTACGCGCACCACACTTGAGAATAAGTGCTTTCCGTTTTGTATTTCTTTCTGAAGGTTCGGGGCTGTGTTTCTGTGGGACAGCGGTTCTTCAGTCGGAAGTATTTCTGGCCACTCCAAATTAATCAACAGCGTAGACATTCGTCAAAAACGTCCCTACCGGATGGTCACCGGCGCCGATGACTCCTCTGGCTCTTTTTTTGAGGGGCCTCCCTTCAAATTCAAATTCTCGATACGTGTGAGTAATAATCTTTTTATTTCTGTTGGGGTATTATTTATTTTTTAGCTATTTCACATTCCTTAATAAATTGGATTGAACGATTGCTGAGGCTTTTTTTTCCCAAATTGAAAAGAAAAACAAACAAAAAAGAAGACCAACCAAAATACTCCATGTTATCCTGACTTCATGTTTTTGACCATATTGAAGTCTCAAAATTAAAAGGCGTAGGGGCTGAACCTATAAACATTTATGTACAAAAAAAATCTGATACTGTTGTTTAGTGTAATACAAGGCAGATTAATTTGTTGCTTGCTTGTTGACAGGATCACAGCCAGTTTGTCAACTGTGTTCGTTTCTCTCCTGATGGAAGTCACTTCGCGACAGCCGGTGCTGACGGCCAGGTAAGCCTCGAGGCGATGAGATATTCTCATTACCTGAAGAAAATCGCAACTGACTATTTAAATAAAATGTTCTCAAATAATGTGCGGACATTCGCGTGGCATTTGTCTCCGTGAAATCCATTTCTTTTTGTCAGATTCTCATCTTTGATGGAGGTAACGGTGAGCGTGTCAGCAGCCTGGGAGGAGAAAAGGCTCATAAAGGAGGAATATATGCTGTAAGTTTGGCCACCTTATCACTTTTAACGTGAATTTAGCCTTTGATTGGCACTGTAGCGTTGCTAACATTGACTTTTTGTGGCCGACTTTTGCGTTGACAAACGTGTGAAGTATGGTCACGTGAAAGGGTTAAAGACAGTATATTCTTTGGCCTTTGACTCTGCATGAGACTTGATTTTTAGTTTGACTGTTTTTGTGCTTTCTAATGTCTTGGTTATTAATTTTGTTTGTTGTATGAATTAATTTAGCTCCATCGACAGCACGTTGTACACAGCGGTGGTTGTTCTTAAAGTGCCTGTACATACAGTGGAGTTGAGTTGTGGGTAAATCTTGGACTGGTTGGAGAGAGCCACACATCCTCTTGTTAATGAGCTACGCCAATGGTTATGGTTGATTAGTTGAAAAACGCCATCCCCGTTTTGTTTTCTTCCCTAGATAAGTTGGAGCCCAGACAGCTCCCAGCTGATTTCCGCCTCAGGCGACAAGACCGTCAAGCTCTGGGATGTTGGCGCTGGTACCGCAGTCACCACCTTCAACATGGGCAATGAGGTGGCGGATCAGCAGCTGGGCTGTCTGTGGCAGAACGATTACCTCCTCAGTATCTCCCTGACAGGCTACATTAACTACTTGGATAAGAACAATCCTGACCGGCCCATACGCACCATCAAGGTCGGACTCACAGAATTTTTCAGCCGCCATTCGGCCTAGTTAGAGCTTTGACTTGTTCTTCCTACAGGGGCACAGCAAATCCATCCAGTGTGTGACAATTCACAGAAGTGATGGACGACCATACATCTACACGGGGAGTCATGATGGCCACATCAATATCCTTCCCAACCGTTGCACATTTCAACAGATTTTCCTCTCGCTGAATATCCCCCCTTTACCTCAACACCACTTTATGCCAGTATAAAATGTCATGACACCGAATTGTAAGAAAGTGGAAAATAGATGTCAGGATGCACATTATATTGACATTCAATGAGTACTACAGTGCGAGGGTTAAATTTTGGCATTTGTGCTAAATAACGAAACAGAAGGTCAGTCTGTTTGTCAGAGTTTAGTCATCAGCAGTTGTCTGACTTGTTTCGCCCGCCCTCCTGGCAACATACATATTTCTGCCATCATTTCTCTTAACCGGAGTCTCACATTACTGGGATGCAGAAACTGGGGAGAATGATTGTTTCTCAGGAAAGGGCCACAGCAACCAGGTGAGCAAAATGGTTGTCAACGTTGCTGATGAAGTGGTGACATGCAGCATGGATGACACGGCGCGCTACACCAGCATCAACAAGAAGGATTACAGGTAGAGGCCATCCCATATCTGAGAGACATTTGAAATGAGCATTAATTGCATGTGCATCTGGAAGCAACTTTGCATTGTTTGTAGATGCTGTCGGTAGGTTTAAACACAGTTCTTGCATTCAGTGCTCCCAAGGTGCAATACCAGGGGAGCACATATCACGTGTATTTTTTTTTTTTTTCTGTACTAGAATTGAATGTAATCGCATATCTACTACAGTAGGTGGCAGTGGCGCTCATTCTCAGTGTGCGCATGGAGTATTAGCTGCGGTTTTTTTTTTCCCTCAGAATTGACCTGTGCGCAGACAAACGGTGAATGAGAGAGGAAGTTCAGTGAGCGAACCCTCAAAAGACACAATGGGAAATCCCCGCCCCTTTCTTTTTCTTTAATGTTATGCAGAGGTTTACATAAAAAAAAGAAATTGTACTCCAAACCTAATTCCAATGAAGTTGGGACCTTATGCTAAACATAAATAAAAGCAGCATACAATGATTTGCAAATCATGTCCAACCTATATATTGCTCACCTGGATGCAGCATGTCAGTGGCATGAATTTAGAGGATTCTATAATGAAGCCACCATAATTTGTCAATTGTTTATTTCGTTATATAAATAAACCGGTGTGTTTTCAGTGCCTCTGATGTGGTGAAAATGGCTTCCCAGCCTAAAAGCATCTCAACCGCTCAAGGGGGCCTAACACTGGTTGTGTGCATTGAGCAGGTAATCTCTTTTCTTTGCTGTCTAAGATTCCTTACTACATAATTTGGTGTTAGTCATTAGAATATCATTGAAGGCTCTAGATGAACAAATCCCTTAAAATAGTCTCAAAGCTCATGTTTTGTGGGTTCTAGGTTGTCTTACTGAAGAACAAACAAAATGTCTTCACACTGGAAAACCTTGGCTATGAACCTGAAGTTGGAGCTCTCGATCCTGCAGGGAGCACTGCCGCCATTGGGGGAGCAGTAAGTGGACGTCAAAGCGTAGGGATGTAGTCCTCCTCAATCAGCCGTGATCCAGTTACACAAGAACACGCACCCACCAATTCATCCATCAAAAGAAACTGGAGCATGAAACATACATCCACACAGAAAATTGAAGGCACGAATATTTAAGCATTTAGCTGAGAATCGTATGCAATGAAGTGGCACTCCTAAAGAACAGACTTGTCATAGCTGTGCATTTATCCAGCCTGAAGTGACTAAATACGACAGCTGCTGGTAGCTGCGCTATCTCTTGGGACTAAAATGGCCCTTCTGAGCTACTTGGCATGCCTGCGTCTGGGGAGTAAAACCAATGAATGTAAACAATCTTGTAACTATGAATATTTAAAAAAAAAAAACAAAAAAAAAACTAACACATTTAATTGCTCCTGGTAGATAAGGACTCTTACCCCCATTCTTCTCTTCCGCAGGATGGTACAATTCGTCTGTACTCGGTCCAAGGCAATACTCTGAAGGATGAAGGAAAAACCATACAGGCTCGAGGGGCGATCACTGATATGGCTTACTCTAACAATGGAGCCTATTTGGCTGTCATAGATGACAAGAAAGTGGCTACAGTCTTTAGTGTGGCGGATGGCTACTCGGTAAATATCCTTTTTTTTAAATAAATCATTTAACATCCTCAGGTTTTATTGCTAAACGCCCTCCTCTGCTTAAAAATGTTTTTTTGTTTTTATCCAAGCTCAAAAATGAGTTTTATGGACACCACGCCAAACCAGTTACTTTAGCCTGGGCACCTGACAATGAGCACTTTGCAACCGGTGGGATGGACATGATGGTGTTTATCTGGACAGTTGATGATGCAGACAAGCGGCTGAAGCTGCAAGGTAGGCCAAACAGCATGGTATCCAGACATACATATTTACCTACTTAAGTCACATAGTCCTCGACCTGGCGCTCACATACCGATAAATGTCACCAAAAAAAAAAAAAAAAAAAAAGATTTCACGAGTATTAATAAACTTGTTTTGTGATATCCGTAGACTGTCACAAGTTGCACCACGTCAGCGGCCTGTCTTGGATTGACGCAAATACTCTGGTCACCACTTCTCATGATGCCAGCGTCAAGCAGTGGACTATTAAATATTGAGAAGGCATGCTGGAAAAACACCCACGTCCCCAGGGACAAGGACTACTGTAGAGTTCAATCAACCCCCCAAATCAAAATGGTGTATTTTGCTGTCTGTCAACATCTGAATTTAAAAGGGTTCTGGTATAAACAAACGAATGAAAATGAGTAAAATATTTGTCTGTATGCAAATAAGCGCAAAGAGTCTATTTGACATCTCATTAAGTGGACACTGCTCACCATTCCATAAATAATGGCAGGAGTTGGGCTGAATGCATCCAAACCTGACGGATGAACCGTAACGTTTGTGTTTGCACTAATGTGTTTGCACTAATGTGTTTAAAAAGACATTTTAATGTTTCAGTTCCATTTCTGAAATGAAAAGGCCTCATGTGGTTGCCTGTTGCATTTTCCTTTGAATGGGGATGAAGAGCAGTGGGTGGGTGCATCTTTTTGCTTGCTCGGGTCACTTTTGCTATTCATAGCACTTCTTGGACTAGGGAGCAATTATAGCAATGGAAAACAAGTATACAATCATCAAGTTCATTCAAGGATTTTATGATGTTTTTTTTGGGTCACACTATACTTGTCTCACTGTTTTCATGTCTTGTCTATGCATTTGTTAATAATATTGCCGAAAATAAAACAATTTTGCATTCCCCTGTACCACACGGCCTCTCCTTGTACCACTGGCGTTTGCCTGGTTTGTCATTTCTGCTACGGGTACCCAAAAGAGACTAACATAGCGAACGCATTTCCTCAACATGATGACGAAAACATATGCAACAACAGCCATACACTTACTCCGTCACTTGACGACTACGAAAAGTTGTTTGAGATTACATTTTACTTGGACCTCTGCCAAAACACAAAACAAAAAAAAAACAAGTGTCTCATCTCTGGCCCACCATAGTTAGCGTACCGGTAATTCAAACTGCACGGACTTCAACCTACAGCCGTTGCATTCTATTAACTAAAATCTCAACAATTGCACCTTAAAGTCCTTTTTGCAGACAGTCCATATACAATACCGCCTTCTCCCAACCGGCCAGGAACAGGTCCGTTAAAACAAACGCACATACACATCATGCCTTCATCGACATGACTGACAGCTACTTGTCCCGCCTCCCCGACAGACCTGTGCCACTGGACTGAACCTTGAAGCAAATTGTGAATATGCTTCTTCCTTTGAGATGCATCATAAAGCAAAATCTAACTGGATGAATGTGGAATTATTTTTATTATTGTATTATGTTATCCCGTCTTACTTTTACGGCCGAGTTAGTATTCAAGCCACATACAGTATGGCGGATGTGATAGACTCCGGCACACCCACGACCCAAATTGCGATAAGCGGTATAGAAATGAATAGAGGAATGGAATCTGGGTAAAGAAACTGTTTTAGACAGACAGGAAAAAAATAACAGAAAGCTATATCACAGAAGACAACAGTGCCGTCAACAAGATGGCATGCTAAGTCTTTTTTTTTCAGCCTAAATCATTTGGCATTTATCATTCCATTTGTCTGGGCAGGACAGCCGCATCATTTTGAGTCCTCCTCCTCTATTTTGTTGGCAAATTGAATTAGCCAAACGGTTCTCATGTGATTGTAGTTTTCCTGGTGACTTGCCTGCAGTGTCTCAGGTTGGAGAATCTTCAAAGATAAAAAGTCGAGTTAGTATTTACACACTTGATAAAGTGTGATAAAGATAGCAAATTTATGATCTCTCTCTAAATGGTGGTCAGGTTCATCATGAAGCCCTGACCATGACAGAAAGGTGTGTTTACACAACAGCTGATGACATAATACGGTAGGACTATACTTATCTTTGTTTTTGCCAACTGTTTGATTGGAGGAACCTTTGGCACAACATTATGATATCAAGGGCATAGTTACACAAGGGCGGAAGCACTTCCTGTTTCAGTGCAAGGTTTAGTGTTTCATATAACTAAATGTATCCTGCAGAATAAAGCATTGTCTAAAGACAGCAAAAATTACGACATTGCTGGAATGTCGGCTTAACCGCACTTTGCGGTAGTGCCAAACTGTTTTCCATTGCTCTTGCTCACATGGGGAACTTGTGTGGCCTCAGCTCCAAGCTTGACAAAGGAAGCCTCTTAAGGGGCGATGACATGAAAGGCTGAGTATACAGTATCAGCTCACAGAATATATGACATATTTGCTGGGAATTGCAGCCACGTGCTATGAAATGACTTTTAACAACGTATCATTTTTGCAACCTCTTTCTGGTTATGTAGAATTGCCTTTCATGCATTTCACACAGGGGCACACTGAAGTACCTCATTAGGATAAGACAGCCATTGTTGAGAGAAAACTGCCCCAGGAGAGAACTTTTTTTCGGGCCATGAAGACAGTTGTTGTGTGTCCACGATAGCTGCACCAAAGTAGAAACACGCGCTGTCGAGTCCAGGCTTACAATCCGGGCTGGGGCTTTTCCGATGTGGAGTTTGCACGTTCTCCCCGTGCCTGCGTGGGTTTTTCTCCGAGTACTCCGGTTTCCTTCCACATTCCAAAAACAAGCATGGTAGGTTAATTATACAATCTATATTATCCCGAGGCTTGATTGTGAGTGTGAATGATTGTTGTTTGTCGATGTGTGCCTGGCTGGCAACCAGTTGAGGGTGTACTCTCGCCTACTGCTCCAAGACAGCTGGGTTAGGCTCCAGCATGCCCGCGACCCTCGTGAGGAGAAGCGGTTCAGATCTCGGATGGATGGATAAGAAGATAAGATAAGGTAAGAAAACCTTTATTTGTCTCACAATGGAGAAATGCCATTGTGATGGACCCTCTGTCGAGCGTGGATTACTTTGACATTGAACCGGAGAGCAGTTGGCATTTTTTTCCCGTGGATACTCATCAACATCGTACACGGGAAGCTCGGCTGTTTTGATGCAGATCGGACTGGTCAGAAAACTATTAGTATGCTCACACCTCATCAGTGGTTTTTGCCGCCAAAAGCACAAAGGTTCCATTGATTCTTTCAGAAAAAAGACCGTTGATCATTTCCTCAGGATTGTTGGAGGCGCGGCCGAGAAAAAAAAGTTTTAGCCTCATAAGTTTTTCCCCATCTGGTCTCCAGATGGGGAAGCATTTACTGCTATACCTTTGAGCAGCTCTCTTTCCCAGATGAGCTGTGTCATGTGCGGTAAACATGTGCAACACGATAACTTATCTCTCTTTATACTCAGATTTGGCCATAAAGCATATAGCATGTCTTTGATCTTGGCGATAAATACTGTACATTTGTCCTCATTTTTATTTGCATGTCTAACAATGCTTCGAGGTCATGATAAAAATAATTCTGTCTCTAATAGTTCCCTAAATGAAGCTGACCAAAGCAAAGTATTCATGTTTTTGTTTTGTTTTTTTTGTCTGCGAGTCAAAGCTGCCGTTATAGATGCAAGACAGCTGTTCTAATGTTTCCCTAGTTACGGGAGATAATGCGACATACCCCCAGACAAACCCGTGCAAGTTAATAATTGGTGGGACGTTGGTAGAATTCTTGCTGGACATAGTGAGCAAGTCAGTAGAGCTTCCGCAAGCATTGGATATACACGTGGGTGAGTACTGTATTCCCACAGCAGAGATTGAAAACACGTTCAGGTAGGCCACCGCTTGCTTTGTTGGTTGTCGTCGTAAACTGGTACTCCAATACAGATTGAACATCATATAATTAGAACTGACACTACAACTACTACCACTACTACCACCACGATTTGTTTTCCTTGGCAACCATCCAAATCCTATACTGTATTCTCCTTTCCACTGTCAGCAGTTTGCTGTCTATACCTCGATTTTAATCTGCTCGCCCTTGTTATTGTCTGTAGAACCAGTTCAAGCTTTTAAATATCAGTACTGCATCAAAAGGTTCAATTACAGATAGTATGTATGTACATAGAGTATGACACTGTAAGATACAGATTCAGTAAACATTGTGTTTTATTGTGCTTGTAGTCTACCGTGGTATTCAATTGCACTGCGTCGCCTGATGTACGTTACTGAGGCTTTGATTTCTTATTTAGGGGAAAATAGTCAACGGAAAATAAGTAAACATGGTGCAGGTATTTACAAACTGCTGAAAAAAATACAAATATCAATCAATACGTAATCGACAAACTTTCTAACTCCTGCTCTGCATACGTTGCGACATGAGATTCAATAAATAGCAAACCGTGGTGCTTTGTGCTTTGATTGGAGGGGTTATGTTTTGAAAAAAAAATGTCAGGGTCATGGTCTCATTATACAGATCTTTGAAAAAAAGAAAAAAAATCCATAATCATCTAAATTGTTTTCACCCAGCTTATCTAATCAAACGAAATTACATTGTGGAAGTTTTGTGAAAGGAAGCAGGAAATAGTTTAATTGGATACTGGCCTCCACCATTTACTGTACATACAAGAGCGTATTTGTTCAAAGACACCACCCAAAAAGAACCCTCATAACTCCAGAGTCATTCTCTAACCTTTAAGTAATGACCTAAAATTGCAATTAAAAAACAATCATATTCCATTCTTCATGAACAGCATTTTATAAACCGGAAAAAAAAGTAGTCATTGCGCTTCAGGTATTTCATGTCCACTTGGTGGCAGAGTCAGTCTTTCGCTTCACATTAGTCAACAATGCAAAAAATGCAGAAATGCCACCTTCTAACAACCAAAACCTGATTTTTGTTTGTTTGTTTGTTTGTTTGTTCAGGAAAAACAAATAAAAAAACATTGCGTGAAAAGTACCATGACTGAAATTCGGATTTGGCCTACTCTGTCTGGTTGAGACGTTCTGGCTCAGGCCTTCCAGTGTGGAGTTTAAAAGTTCTCCCCGTGCGTTTTCTGTGGGATTCTGACATCCTCCCGCATTCCTCAAACATACCAATGAAAACTCTAAATTGTCTGGATGTGTGAATGGGAGTGGGAATGTTTTTTGTGTCCTGTGACTGAATGGTGACCAGTCCAGGATGGAACTGGAAAAGGAATGGACTTTGGAAATACTTGTGTGTGGTGTTTTGTTTATGTGCGTGTCATACAAGCGCACTCCTCTAAACCCTTCAACCTTCGTTAGTATATTTTGATATGACATTCCTGTTCCTTCACTAGAAAAAAAAAAAAGGTTTGCTGAATTGTCTCACTTTTATTTTCTCAAGGGGTTGGATGATTTTATGCTGTGAAACCACCTGACGAAACAACATTGAGTAAATTCAACACAGCATTTGTTTTCGGTGTTCGCATGAGTTGAATTTCTATTAAAAGTTATGTTGTTGAACATATGGGTAAAAATCTGCAGTGCATACCTGTTTATGATTAATTACCCCACAGCAAAGCTTTGGCGGGTTGCAAAGCTAATTTGTCATTATTACATCCGTTTTAAGAGTAAATCTCAAACTTGTGACTGACTCTGTTGTGGGGCAAAGTCATTTCCTTTTCATGCAGTTGTTTTTTTTTTTTTTTATGGTTTTCCCACTTCCTCATCTTGGTTGTGAAACGTGCCTTTTCTGCTCACGTGTGTTCTGTGTAAGCTGGATGTATGCGATAGTTCTAATGACTTTGTCCGTGTCTTTCACACCGAAGGCACCTGAACAACCGAAATGGATCAACCACAGAAGGCCAATCCATCTGAAACTAGCAGCAGTTCTGACAAAAAGACTGCAAAGGTTAGTTGATACCCAGCTGGGCTCAGCTAAGTTTAGCAACCGTATTTCAGTTGTGCAGTGCTTACATTGAAAAAATATTTACTTGGAAAACAAAAAACCTGAAGTAATTCTAAGTACATTTTACAAGGAGTTATTGACACTTTACTGGAATGGTGTTTACTAAAATTCGTTTATTAAAATGAAGTCACTCAAGGGTTGAGGAACAAACCTACAACGGCAATTAAAATGAAGTCACTCAAGGGTTGAGGAGCAAACCTACAACCGTCACGTTGGGAGCCAGCCATTGAACCACCTGAGCCATGCCACTCCTACTCCGTGTTTGTGTATTGCTGGTGTCAGACGGAACACTCGTACCTTCAAAAGACCCATTTTCGAGGTCTATTTCGGCAGACAGCATCAACAAACATTCAGTAGGAGTGACATGGATCAGCGGCTATCTCCCAATCTGAAGGTCGCGGGTTTGTAAACTTTACTCCAAAACTTTATCAGTGAAAAAAAATTTTCCTAGATTTTTCTTCAAGCAAATATCACTCAAAATTGTTTTCCGTGTAGGCAGGAAAAAGTTTCAGTCGAGTTTGTATATATAAAATACTGTGTATAAAGCATTTTTTTACAGGCCGGCTTAAAACGTGTGTGCTTTGACTGTACACATAATCATACAAGGTAATATTTTGAGCAGAACTCCATAGATGATGGCAATGTATGACTGGAGTAATGATCTGTAAATGCAAAAGTACTACCCCCATGCTGCGCATTATTCCAGCATCAGGTGTTCATGTTGCTGTATTCTGAATCGAAATCAGATGTAGTCCTTCTGCTGCACATTCTGCCTTTTCCTTGACTTTGCAAAAGTCTTAAAGGCGGATAAAAGGATAAAAATTGGTCCATTTCCAATTTTTGGGCAATATTTGTAATACAAAAAAATAATAGATGAATAATCAGTGAATAAAAAAAACGCAGAGGGTTCCGAAAAGACATTCTCCAGATATTTTTTTGGATACTATTGTAATGTCTTTATCTTTTATTAACACAGTATATTTTCTGGCCTTAATGTCAGCTCTGCATACAAAATGTCATTATCTATAGCTTTGTGCCATTTATTTTTAAGTACATTTCATGCAGTCCATTAACTCTCAAAGTGATTCAAATTACACTCTGGCTTTATTTTCACCCCTCGTGTGACTAGCAGCTCGTGTAGGGATTGTCCATTTCTTTGTAATGCTTTTGTTTTTTCATCGATAGAGATGCATTATCCTTGATTCCCCATTAAAAAAAAAGTTGAGCTTCTTCCATTTGGAGTTCTTCAAAATACAAGCATTCTCACAGTGTCGTTTCAATCTACTATGATGTAGCAGTAAATGATGGATGACCCAGATGACTGACATAATGCAGCAGCTGTTGATGTTGAATGACCCTTGATTTTGATCAACAACAAGTTTGACTTACCGTACAACACCTCTAACCTGAGTTTTTATGATTAATGCCACTTTTGTGTGCTTTGTCCATAGAAGCGGATCACACCCTGTCTGCTGAGTGCAGCCTTCTTTGGTGCTTTGGGCTCATCTTTCCTTTATGGTTACAATCTCTCTGTTGTCAACGCTCCAGCGCTGGTAAGCCAAACTGCCGTCAAGGACACAAAGATGATCAATCAACACCGCAGTGGAAACAAATAAACATGACTATATCTGATGTCACCTGAACCAGTCTGCTTAAGTAACAAAAAAATCATGTTTGGTTACTTCATGTGTACCAAGATTGTGATTTATCCTAACTTTATTTGGTATATTTGGAAATATCAGTTCGCCTGGCTCTATACACCCGATCCCTCCCTCCGCTTCTCAATGAGGCGAACTGAGCATGCCTTTGTAAGATCTTTCAGTCACACAAAGTGGTTCGAGTGAGCTACCTTAAACAAGGATATGTTGCACTTAACTTCTTCTTAACTCCTACCAATCAACATCAACACATTATTATTAGCATATCATGTCGCTAGGAAACGTTACAGGTGGTCAGACAGCACCATTGTCCTTTTTGAATTGCCATGAGAGAGACACACTTTTGGTATGCTAGCTAGTGTGCTAATATTAAAGCCTAGAATGATGCTAGTGACTATAGCTAGCTAACTGACATAATGTGTGTGTGTGTTAGTATATTGCGCACACCCACTCACTAAACGTACTCTGGCACCAAAAGTGTCAGCGCCTCTAAACTTCTGTTCCTAAAATCGCCCCTGGCTCAGTTTCATGGAAGTTGATCCCATGGGGAACGCCTAAGGCCATGTCTTTTTCAAGGAGCGATGTGGATGTCATAGAGGACATCCCTGGTGAAGACAACAAAAGGATTGCTGCTGTGGGGACGAACCGACTCCATGTACCCACTTCAGCTGATTAATGAAATGTAATATTTGATGATAAGCTACCTTTCTTTTCATATCCTTCCATCAAAAACGGGCACGAGGGAACCTGGGATGAGTGCCAAGCAGATATGGGTCTTACTAAATAAACATGCTTTGATTATATCACACTCTGGGGACAGAAGGTGATTGTCAGTCAGTGAGAGGAGGTGGTGGGATTCATAACTGGGATAAATGTTTTATATCTCTCAAAGGAAAATGATGGTGATGGACACTAGCGGGGAGCTTAGTACGAAAATAATAGCAGAGCACTGGCTTCTCTTAAGCTCAGAAGTAACCAGCTCTGTCAATGGGTCCGTAAACTTTGGGTGAAGTCTCTTAGCTCGTTTGGTTGAGGACTAAAGACTCACAGATCCAAGACTTGTCATGAATGAGAAATATGTAAATAGGGATACTGGGTTGGAAAGGCTAGATCTTTTGTGAACACCGTCAAGGTGCCCGTGTACCACTAAGAGCCTCAGACAATCCACTCTGGGGTCATTCTAGTATAATAATGAAGTTAAAGGGAAAAAAATTAGATTCCTCTCATGGGAAAGTAGCCACATGGAACATCTCTAGATTTGCCGTTCTCCATACTCTGGCAGGACAAAGTGATTTCTTTAAGTGCATCAAGGGGAGACTGAGAAGTTGGCTGTCAGTCAAAAACAGTCCAAAGTTATCTACAGTAAAAGAAACAAAAAACTCTATAACCTTATCCACAAATGTGAACACATCTCCTATGGCACAGGTGTCAAATTCAAGGCCCGGGGGCCAGATCCGGACCGTCACGTCATTTTGTGTGGCCTGCGGAAGCATATCAAGCATGTCAACTTGCATGATGCTCGCTACAATCTCTACCAAAATTTAAAATTTTCATATGTAATAAATCAGAGACATATTGCAGAAGCATTTTCTTGGAACCAAACCCCTCATTACAGTAACTTAAACAATAGTTGAATAAATCGTTATTACTGACTTTTTTAAAAATTTGGTTTCAGTCACAATGGCCCCTCACACACATCCACACTATCACTAAGTGGGAACTGAACCTATGTTGCTGACACCAAAGTCTGTTGAATGCACTACGACACCACCGGTGACTCCGCCCAGTGTTATTTGTGTAAGAAATATGTCCCGCATAATGAGTCTTCTGAACCGCAGAAAAATCCATTTTGCATGTAAATCGAAGAACAGATGAAAGCAACATATTATGCCAACTTTGCGCTGCATTCATGGATACTAAATGATTCAAAGTCCTCTTGGTTCCCCCCGGTGAAATTATTCACTCAAGTCAAAGTGACAGGTACAAAGCCTTAAAGTCATCCTGTTGCAATGTGGGCTAAGCTGAGCTGTCACCACTGAGCCCAACCGTGTAGTCACTTTAAATGCTCAGGCTCATGTTAATCTACATCAAAGATATAAAATCCAAGAAAAATTATCCAAACTTCAAACCTCAATTCATTGGCCTGGAGCTTTTTTTTTAAATAATTTAAAAACATTGGCAGTCACCAGTTCAGTAACCTTTGTATTTCAGTATGTTACTGCTTTGCTGTAAAATGTGTTTTACGTGCATACTCCTGTAAATGTTGCGTTTCCTTGTGTATGAAATGCGCCACACAAATCAAGTGCTCTTGCCTTGCCTTTGTTTGATGTCCTTCATACCATCCATACCAGATAATATAGTCGCAGACTTCTTTCAGAGGCAGCAAATTATGTCTTGGCTTTTATTACAAGCTTTTTAATCCATCTTCGCTGGTGACCATCAAAACTCAGAAACAGACTCATTCAGCAAATTGAAAATGGAGTGCATGATTCACAGCCGACGCTTAAAGCCTGCACTCTTTCTGAAGACTTTTGTAGGAAGTAATGCGCTATTCTTAGTTACAGATATACATGGACCCCCCCCCCCCCCAAAAAAAAAGGACTGGAACAGTGAGGCCGTATCCCCAATTCGGGGATGTCAACGGGTCACAGGTTTGATGCGGTTACTGCAAGCCAAAGGCTTGTGATTATTAAGTCAGGTGACTGTGGTGAGTGAACTGAGCGAATGAATCCCTTGAGGGAAATTCAATTTTCACTCTGCTGTACATGTTTCCCACTTGTATTCCACCACAATGTACTTCGGGGCTGAATCTGTCTGAGTTCATTGCCTTACAAACTGGCACCTTTTCTACAACTGGTTGGAAATGATTTTTCATTCACAGCGGGATAAAACGAAAGAAAAAAAAACATTGACGGAAAAAAAATTCCTCTTTATTAATACCTTCTAAGCAGTGATACACAACAAGTGTGCTGGGGTACATCAGTGTGCCCCGAGAGATTATCAGGTGTGTTGCAGGCAATTATCCAATTTTCTTGAATGTAATTGGTCCAAAGATTATTTACCGCAGCGTATCTTTGACAAGCACAATCAAATGCTCTTTTGACAGATGGCCAAAGGTACATAATCAAGCTGTATATCCACGTTTTGGGACATTTTGTTTATAGCAGTGTGCTGTGAGATGTTTTTGTCATTTAAAAAATGCGCCTTTGGGTCAATAAAAGTTGGCAAACGCTGTTTTAAAGATTTCTTTCTTTCATGTGCTCTCTCTGTTGCAGTACATTAAAGCTTTTTACAATCAGACATGGATGGAGCGATACAACGAACCTATCAGAGCGGAGACGGTCACGCTCCTTTGGTCCATCACAGTCTCCATATTTGCCATTGGGGGCCTTTTCGGAGCACTTGTTGTCTCCTGGCCCATAAAAATACTGGGAAGGTGAGACGACCACAACGTGTTTGCGATAAATTTCTCCATCTTTGTTGCGTTACTCAGCAGCCTCTTTTGCTACACCTGATCTAAAGTTACGACCAGCACAGGAGCTCATGAATTTCCTATCTATGGTACGGTATAAAGATCAAAGGAGTAGGAAGGATCATAACACTGACAGGCAGAAAATAATTGAACAAAATGTCTTGATGCAGAAGATTTAGGATTCAGGAGGAAAGAAGCCCTAATCATCCAGTTTGTATGAGTTTGAGTGAGTGATACGAATACACACTGTGCACACGTAGACGAAGGAGAGAAATGGGCATGCCGCTCATCGTTAACTTTCTAACAGCACAGCATCCAAGAACATGCTACAAGGCATGTGCGTGTGGTTACTTTATTTGGAATATTATGATTGCTTGCCTATGTGGCAGCTGGATCAATTGAGGTCAAACAGAATAAGTCTCAGATTGACTTACCTCTCTCCTACAATATATTACTCGGTATAAAATGATACGCTCATCCAACCAGCAGGAATGGAATCTCATTCTTCCATGCATTCGCCGGCTTACATCTAAAACTGGAGTTTTTCAGTTTCAGGTCAGTCCAATCTGTAGAGTTGTAGAAATACTAAACTTGCGCTGTAAAATATGTGCTAACTTTTGTCAAAGGCAAACTCCTCCTTGGACAGTATGTTCTCATTGCTCTGAAATGATATATGTTCAAAGGAACCAATTATCCGCAGGTGACAAGGATGTCACTTGGAGAGCAGGGAATCTTTTTTTTATTTTTTTTATTCTGGGTCATTTTGAGAACTTAAAATGCCTTAGTGCTCCCCTTCAATATCTCAGCTTGAAACCTGTGATCCATACTGCTCGCATGTACGATTTGAAATGTATAATTAATTTCTTTTCCTCCTTATTCTCAGTTGGAAACCGCTGAATGAGCGGGTGGTGTTCCCCCCGAAACTGTCTGAAAAACGCTAAAAATCCAGAGGTCAGGCCAGGAATGATGAATGAATGAATGTATAATTGCAGTTGAAGACGATGCAAATTGAATACTGACTGACTCATTAAAAGCTCCCAAGTGGGCATTCCTTTTCATATATTACTGAATTATTCAAGACAAACTAACGTATCTCGATGAGGATCTTAAAGAATTGGTAAAAATGCTTTCTGAGGGAATGTTGAAATGGGGGAACTCCTGCAGGGTCCTGTCAGCGTTGGTATTTAGTTCACACTAAATTAAATTGAGTAGGCAAATTGAAATCCACCTTTTGTGATTAAGAAATGCTACAGTACTGTAATGTGCAGCTTGGAAAGAAAACATGACTGCCACAAGAGGGCGCTTTTAGTGCTTTCGTGCAGCTGATGTGATTCGAAAGATGTGAAGTAAGATGCCATTTCAAAACTTAGGAATCCTAAAAACTGAGAAGAATTTTATTACAAAGGTAACCATAAAACAATCAAGGAGGATTCCTCTCCTTTCGAGTCAGTTGTATGCCAGTCACCATGATTTGGAACCTTGTCTTCTCAATAGTACGCGCAGAATCAGGTCATATAGTTGAACTCGACAGGAATATCATTCTTTTTGTGTGTGTGTGTGTGTGTGTGTGTGTGTGTGTGTGTGTGTGTGTCTAACAGAAAGGGAACCTTGTTGCTGAATAACATTTTTGCTGTGATAGCTGCTTTGCTGCTGACCTTTGGGGAGAAGGCACGGTCCTTTGAGATGCTCATCATTGGCCGCTTCATCGTGGGGGTGGATTCTGGTAAGTGTTCCCGTTCCGTGGCTCAGCCCAGACAGATGACATGTCATGGCACGGGCTTGACATCTAGAGCAGGGGTCAGAAACCCAAAATGTTGAAAGAGCCATATTGGACCAAAAAATCCACCAAAAACCAAATATGTCTGGAGCCCCCAAAAATTAAAAGCCTTATAATGAAGGCAACACATGCTGTATATCAAAATGATGAATTTGGCTACAAATACAAAATGAGACTTCATGATTAAATGTTTTTTTTTCCCTGCAGTGCATCCTGTAGAGCAGGGTGCCGAACGTTTTTTGACCGAAGATCTACTTTTCGATCAAACAACCTCCCGCGATCGACCCGTTACTGCCCACGCGGGCATACGTACGCACTTACACACGCATGCCATCATGAGCACCAAACAGGCATAACGGCCCCTAAGATGAACGAGGCATGGGACACACTTTTGCAGCGTGTTAACTATTGTAGCTCACGTGTACCGTTTAAAAATGCTTCTCTTGGCCCTCCATATTCCCATTCTTTGCCAGTACCCTCGGTGAACTGTACATGAAACGCCGTTTTTTTTTTTTCCTTCATAACAGCCACCTGACTGACATCCCGCCCTGCTAATAGAAACGTGTGTCGCAGGCTATGATGCAAAATTTAATAATTATTCTACACATACAAATTACAACAATAGAAAACGTTAAAAATGTTTGTGCCATGTTTGTCCTCCTACAGAAACCATATTAAAACAAAAAATGTATTTCCCTCCCTCATCGTTTTCCATTTTCAAACATTTTTGCAAAAGCTCCAGGGAGCCACTAGGGCGGCGCTAAAGAGCCGCAGATTGGCGACCCCCGATCGAGAGCTTGAGTCCAATTAGCTTTTGTTTCGCTCTATGAAAGAGTGGGACACTGCATAAACAAATAATGTAATTAGTTAAGCTTCTCCAGGGGAGATTAAATTATCACAATAAAAATGTAAATGTTGTTGCGTATAATCAAAAATGGTCTTATCAAGCAAGATATTTGAAACTACCTGCGTGTGTTTGTGTTTATTGGGTACGCAGTGCCTGTGAAATTAGCTCTTACTCCCAATCATCAACTCCACTGATGTAATGGGAGGAACCGATACTTTGATTAGATTTGAAAGAGGTGATTAAAATTACAAGGACACGCAAAGCAATGTCTCCAATGAAGGTTCAACCTTTAGATATATTTATGGAGTAAGAACAATCAGGAGCTGCAAGCCGGAGGCTTACATACAATAATACATGTTATTTTCTATTGTCTTGTATCATAAAGGGAAGGCGGTAGGCGGGGATAGTGTTCATGGAATCTTTCTATCACAAAAAAGATTAGATAGAAAAAAAGAGATAAAGATAAAAACTGCAGCTATGGCAATTCAATTTTATCTTCATGGAGACTACCGTTGTTTAATAACCTTATGTTATGCTTTTTGAGATGAAGACAGTATATTTTGTTTTCATCTCTTATTTTTTTTGTCCTCACAGGTATAGCTCTCAGTGTACTACCGATGTATCTTGGAGAAATTTCTCCAAGATATATCCGAGGTTCCATTGGTCAGTTCAACTCCATTCTGATCTGTTTCGGAGTGTTCATTGGTCAGGTGCTGGGTCTACCTGAGCTACTGGGCCAGGTGAGTAAAATGGATCATTTGTTGCTCTGTTACCTTTTCAAGATACTGGAAGATTTCAGGAGAGGAATGGAGAAACTTTGGCCTAGTTCAGTCTTATCATGCGTAGCTAGGTACATAGGAAGTCGACGCAGCCATATTAGATTAGAACAAAACCTGTCTTTGTTTTGATGTTGCATCTTGCAAAATGTTCAAGCAACTTTTACTATTTTTGAAAGCCATTTTAGTTCTGTTTAAATTTGCACTGACTCGATGTGTAATACCCTAATTAAATACACCAACACACAGACACACGTGTCCATGACTCAATCATGCATCCATTCTTACATTGACTGTTTGTGCTTCTAATGTCTCTCACGTGGTCTGTCAAGTGACCGGAATTATCTGGAAGGTGGCGATTGGATTTACATGGAAAGAAATCTTACATGGATGGATGGTTAATCTTGAGTCTCACTCAAATCTTCAACTGCACCACTGCAGCAGTTTGTTTCATTTTTGCTTGACATTCAACTTGAGTTCGTCTCTGAGGGGGGTAGAAACAATTTCTCACTTTGCACGGAATTATTACCATCTCGTTTTTATCAATGGAGAGTGTAGGCCAGCGGTACTCAATAGGTGACCGGCAGGCTGGCCTATTTGTGGCCCCCCCATACTGTTTTGGCCCTTTCCAAGATCAGACGAGATTGGACATTTTCATCGCAGTATGACCGCAAGCTATGCTTCATTTCGTACAGACAACCAGCCCGTTCATTGAGTATGTGTACATGGAATTTGGCACCTACCGTGTGCCAGGCGCACCCTCATTGAAAAAATGTTTACCTCTGTGTTTTTGGTTAGGTCAGCACAATGTAGATCAGGATTTGTCCGTGCATCCATCCATTTTCCGATCCGCTTTATACTCACAAGGGTCGCGGGGGGTGCTGGAGCAGTTGCCACTGGTTGCCAGCCAATCGCAGGGCACACAGAGACGAACAACCATCCGTGGTCACACTCACACTTAGGGATAATTTAGAGTGTTCAATCAGCCTGCCATGCATGTTTTTAGAATGTGGGAGGAAACCGGAGCACCCGGAGAAAACCCACGCAGGCACGGGAAAAACATGCAAACTCCACACAGGGAGGCCGGAGCCGGGATCGAACCCACGAACTGTGCACTATGAGGTTGACGCGCTAACCACTGGTCCGGCATTTGTCTCCATGCCAATGATATTGAGACAGAAAGTCGAGATGGCCCGCCGTCAATCATTGTGAAGGAAAATATGTTCTTCTCTAGAATGTAGGTGACTTCAGTCTATTTTTGTGTTCATTTGTCTATTTGCAATTCACAAGGTTTGTGCTTGGGCAGAGCATGCAACTCAGTACCGGATTCTGAAATGTCGTTCAGCTGTGTGCGTCAACGACACAGTCATTACCGATGCGCAAGGGCCTTGTTAGCCTGAGCAATTACTTGTTCAGTTATTCATATTTTCATCCATTTTCAACGACGTATCCTGTTTTGGGTGAAGGGACAGCTGGAGCCTGTCCCATTTGACTTTGGCGGAGAGGCAGGAGAAAAGCCCTGAACTGTAGGTCGATGATTTGGTTTGAACAGAAAAGCCAATACTCTGGTCTTACTGAGACACTTTTGTTCCTCAGTTAGTGTTTTTTTTTCTCCCCCTAATGAGCCAGACTTTTTTGACAACGTGTGTAATGCAATGTTCAGACGTGATGAACACTGTTTGGTGCTTATCCCCTTGATACAACTTTCCCGAAGCTGCTATGCTTTGCACTTTTGTTTCTCTTCTCGAGCACTGATACGCAAAAAGCTGTTAAGCCAGTCAGGCTTATTTTTTCTCACCGATGGCCTCTGCTGCTTTTTCATCTTGCTTGGTTAAGTTATGAAAGTGCCAATGTTTGGGACAGATTACAAAGACGGGTTGCTGAAAGTCGTTTCCTTGATTTGTTTCCGTGTGGGTCTTAGTTTCTGCAGGAGATAATAACAGCTGGGCTATAGTCAATAAAAGAAACGTTCGCATTAGTTTGCGAGTTGAATGAAATCCAAATGAGCAACTACGCCCGCATCTGGATCAGCATCTGGATCCACAAGCACCGGCAGCGTTCGATGCATGTCCTGCTACGTTTATTATTGTCCTAGTGGACGATTGCACCATTTGGAATCATTTCAACGACTCTCTTCATTACGCATGAACGTTTTTGCTTGCCTGTGTCTCCCTCTAAATCCGGTGAGGTGATTTTCAGTGGAACCGCATAGATGTCAACAGACATATTTGACAGTATTTTTATACCGCATTGTCTTGGCTTCAAAACATGGCTGCAAACTTGATCTGATGCTTCAAATGAATTTCAACGTGTTTGCTGCTAAACCAAAGATATTGAAACTCGCTTATAATACAGTATTGAGGAATTCAGTAGCATGAATGAATCTTTTACCGGTGACAGGTTGAAAGAATATTTTCAAAAATTACATTTCAATCTACTGATGTGCTATGCCATGACCAATTCTAAGACAACACCATTTTTTTGTTGAAATATTTGTCTTAGTTAAAAAAAAAAACAAAAAAACAAAAAACAACAACAAAAAACCCCAAACAAACAAAATGATGGGGTACAAGAATACTTTTCATTATTGCTGCATGTCGCATTGGCAGATACCCGATACAGCGTCTAATATTTCTCAATATTGGGAAGAAGTGTGATTTAGATCACGTTATGCTCCATCTGCGTTTTTTTTTATGCCCTCTACATTGCAAATGTGGCCACTCAAGAACAAAAAAAACAAAAACAAATCAGAAATGTGTCACTTCAAACATGCTGTGTGAAACCAGCCCGACTTTGCACTGACATTTACACATGAGCATGACAGAAATTCATTTCTAATTCATAAATAGCAGCCGGCCCCATACCCAATTTGTCCACAATGTTGACTTGTACAGCCAATGTATTCATCTGACCTATTTGCGGGCCTTTAGGACTGCCTGTTATCCAGTAATTTGACAGGCACATAGCAGAATTATAATGTGTGACATATTCCGATAATGCCACCATCGTATTTGCTGTGTTATGAGACTCACAGCACTTTTTTTTGGTGTTACTGAAGGTTTCTATTAATAGAAATTAAACATGTCACTTGCATTCAGAGGTAATAAGATTTGACAAAAGCTATTTTTTTTCTGACCATCACGGTTAGCGAATGACTCTATTAATTCCAATATTGCAACGGGGATTATTGTAGCACTGATATGCCTTTTCGGCGTCCCTTTGTGGAGTTTGCATGTTCTCCCTCTGCCTGAGTGGGTTTTCTCCGGGTACTTTGGTTTCCTCCCACATTCCAAAAACATGCATGGCAGGCTGATTGAACGCTCTAAATTGTCCCTAGGTGTGAGTGTGCGTGCGGATCGTTGTTCGTCTCTGTGTGCCCTGCGATTGGCTGGCTACCGGTTCAGGGTGTACCCTGCCGACTGCCCGAAGACAGCTGGGATAGGCTCCAGCATGCCCCGCAACCCTCGTGAGGATAAATACCTTCAGAAAATGGATGGATGGGCTTCTAAATCATATAAAATGAAAAACAGTAACTGGCAAGAGAACAATTTCTCCCTTTTACTTTTGTGGTTGACCTGTTCCCTGAAAGTGACACGCTGTAGGTGGTAGGTGGGGAGCATTTATACAGTGATATGAATTTGCATATTACTGCTTTCTTAATGTTGTAATTAGTATGGATGGGGGTGGCAGTGACTCAGCGTCTATGGACTTGACTTTGAATCCGAGTCAAAATTTCAAATGGTCATTCCACCTTGTTGCTGCTGCGATGCTCGCCTGTTTTTGGCGCATTGTCAAGCTGTCCTTCCACAAGGCCCTGAGGCCCACAGTTCTTGTTTCCATCTCAGCATGTGCGAGTAAAAACAGAATTTTCCTCAGGCATGGTAGTTACTATGATAAATTGAATTCAAACGAGAGAGATGATGAGCCAGAGGGATCTTTATATCTTTTCCGTGCTATGAGGTCTTGTCTTTGTTTTCTCTTGGCCGAACAATCTTTCCTACATTTGGCGTCTCAATTGGAAGCTAGAACGACATAAAATGTGACCTGATTTATTGTAATGTGTGGGTATCGCTGGAATGGTGGCTCCCTGCACATCACACTGCCTTTTGTGGTAATTGACTGCTTCGATTGCACACACTTTTTAGTGTCAGCTGTCACCTGGCACATCTTCCATCAGCATCAATAAAAGAGTTTCAGAGGAGACATTCCGGGCAGAGGGGATGGTAGGCTTTTCCACTGATCCTCCACCCATATACCTTTAATAGTATTCCGATATGTGTGACCTAAGGTTTTTATTTATTTTTTTCCTTTTATCAGACACACACTCGTCTCAGAGAGAAAAAAATGTTAAAGCAGCTGCAAGAAAGAAGTGGTTGGGCCTGCTAGTAATCTTCATTTATAATTGGATTTGACTAAAACCTGGTTGTTGTTTAGTCCTCATTTTTTTCGCAAAAATTCACCTTCAGATTTCTTGCTTTGGCGATGCCATAATGACCAAACAGTATAACCAAACTAACCAATGTGACTGGTTGGACACCGAATAGGCACAGAGCATTAAAGGAGTAACAAAAGTCACAGCTTGCATTTCGTCTGATCGTTTTTAGTGAGTGTTTTGGTGGGCAAGCCCTCCCATTTATGCCGTAGTGCCTCAAAAAAAGACAAATTGCTTGACAGTGTAAATGAAGGGCAAAACGCGAAGTCATCTAATGAGTCTCAATATGACTCATCAAATATGTAAAAAAAACGAGTATCACATCAATTTAACGGGCCGACGGTGTTTATGCCAGCTTGTGTTTGATAATTATTGCAGTACACACTGTAATCCATAATGCGTGAAACTGTAAATGGCTAGAGTACTAGTGACAGCCAATTATATCTCCCAGCTTGCTGTTGAATTAAAGATTTTAAATTAATGGTTACGTACTGTGGTCGACTGGTTCGCACGTCCGTCTCACAGTGCAGAG